GACTGTTGGGGTTCACTGCTTGTTCATGTCTAGGGGATGGGGGGGTAAAGCACGGTCTGTCAGTACGGTCTGACTCGGGCCTATCACAGTACGTCCTGGTCAGTACGGTCAGACTCGGGCCTATCACAGTACGTTCTGGTCAGTACGGTCAGACTCGGGCCTACCACAGTACGTCCTGGTCAGTACGGTCAGACTCGGGCCTATCATAGTATGCCCTGGTCAGTACGGTCAGACTCGGGCCTATCACAGTACGTCCTGGTCAGTACGGTCAGACTCGGGCCTATCACAGTACGTCCTGTCAGTACGGTCAGACTCGGGCCTATCACAGTACGTCCTGGTCAGTACGGTCAGACTCGGGCCTATCACAGTACGGTCAGACTCAGCTGCATACTGGACTGCAAGTCATATTTAGACGAGTACAGTGCATCATAGGGAAGAAAATTTAGGTCGTCAGTGAAATGTCTCAGATTGAATATCACATCTCTGAGACTTCATTTGGGTATTGAAGCTTCTGTTTAGTTGGCAGAAATACTGAGAAGCTCAGAAACACCAAAAAGTGATAAAAGTATACAGTACTTCATATTCAGATTGAATGTCATTTTTTGTTTAGCCAATAGGTGGCGTCACTCTTTAAAGTGCATCCGTGGCCCTAATAAACAGACAGCAGTCAATAGGGATCATAGTGTAGGGATCACCCAGTGCCTGCACACAAACTTGTCTCCTATTGGCTGCAAAGTATGATGGACATCCTCACTTGCCAGTAGGGACACGGGTTGCTGTTGCCATACAGGCATAGAGAGGTGCCACTTTGTCTGGAGAGTGGGCATTCGAGGCAGGATGTGTTCGCATGAAGACCACCCTAGTTATGCCCACAAGCCATGCTGAGCCTCCAGGACTAAGACCTGAAATCCAATGAATGAAAGGGGTGGGCCAGGGTCAGTCACGCTGGGAAGGATAGAGCTAGATCAAGGGTAGGCAACCATAGCACTCCAGCTGCAGTGAAATTACAAGTGAGGCACTGCAAGACTGACAGCCACAGGCATGATGGGATTTGACATTTCACCACAGCTGGAGTGCCAAGGTTGTCTACCTCTGGGCTAGATGATGCTGGACATGCTGCACCCAGGAAATGAGGTGGGCTCTGACCTGCTGCAGCTTCTAATATGCATAGTGAGAAGCTCCCAGTGTGCAGTGATATCAGGAGGAAGCCATTCCAGTCCAGCAGAGGAGCCGGTACAACTGTGCAAATCTAAAAGGGAAGGCCGGGAGGTCAGATAGAAGACTGAAGGAAAGGCCGGGAGGTCAGATAGAAGACTGAAGGAAAGGCCGGGAGGTCAGATAGAAGACTGAAGGAAAGGCCGGGAGGTCAGATAGAAGACTGAAGGGGAGGACGGAGGTCAGATAGAAGACTGAAGGAAAGGCCAGGAGGTCAGATAGAAGACTGAAGGGAAGGCCGGAGGTCAGATAGAAGACTGAAGGGAAGGCCGGAGGTCAGATAGAAGACTGAAGGGAAGGCCGGGAGGTCAGACTTAATTATCTAATTAGTAATCATTATCATTTTCTATAAATTAAACTCAGCATCCCACATTATAGAGAACTCACATCAATCTCCCCTTCATCGATCTCTCCATCGTCCTCCTCTTTCTTTTTATCTTTTGGAACCTCCCTGTCTTTCTGCTCATTGGTGGACTCCTTGGCCTCCACACGAGAGTCATCTTTGTCTTTATCGTCTTTCTCATCTTCATCGTCTCCTCCGAGTTTCTCCGATTCGTCCTCTTGGTTCGGGCCGGCTGGTTCCTCTGGGACCTCCTCGTCATAATCCAGTTCGTGTTCATCCAGTTCCCGCATGACCGAGGAGGCCTCATCCCTCAGGTCGTTGCTTGGGTCCTCGTCCTGACGGGCAGCGGGAGAACGGCGCTCGCCTCGGGTCGGCTCGCTGCCGGAGGCGGGAGATTTGATCTCACTCAGGCGATCGTCGTCGTCCAAGAGAGGAGACTTGACGGGGCTTCCTTCTGGTTCTTCAAGATTAATGGGAGAGTCCGGATTGTCCTTGGTAGAAATGTCCGGTCCTCCGTCCTCCGTTGGGGAGGCATCGATGGCTTTAGAGATGAAATCTGATAGGTCTCTTTCTTCTGTATCAGCTTTTGGAGAAAGATTATCCCACGGCATGGGCGAGTTCGGTTCCGGGGAGGCCCTGTAATCGGGGGAACCTTTATCGTCTAGGAAATCGCCGTAGGGGGTTTTGGGAGAAGCATCATCCCACGGCATGGGAGAGCCGGGTTCCGGGGAGGCTGGGTCATCGGGAGAACCTTTAATATCTAAGGAATCACTATCGACAGCTTTTGGGGAAGGGTTCTCCCATGGCATGGGGGAGTTGGACTCCGGATAGGCCCCATCCTCAGGGGAACGTTTATTGATCAGCAAATCGCTACTGTTCTCATCTCTGTCCAGGTCATGGTCCGATGAGAGGTCTCTGTCCAGGTCATGGTCCGATGAGAGGTCTCTGTCCTCATCTTCGTCGTCTGTCAGGTCAGGTGGGATTTCCTCAGGAGAAAGGGGATCTCGTTCAGGACTGTCGGCAGCAGCCATGGGTCAAACGTACCTGAAAGAAAGAATGTGGATGTGAATGCTGAAGATCCCCACTCATTCAGTGCAACTAAAATAACGATAGCAGAAAATACTCATCACCAAATCACTTATCAGTTCGATTTTAATAAAGCGAACACGTGACAGCTATTCAGTCTGTTCCAGAGCTGGTTATGGCAGGGGAAGATGGAGACTTATAGCAATGAGCTTCTGCCAGCAACATGTCAGGAAGGGGCCCTTCTGCATCCTGGAAATGGTTGTAGACAGCAGGACAGGCCGAGGAGAACGCCTCCCTCGAGGGGCAGCCACGTCTACGCGTCTCCCTCGAGGGGCCGCGGAACCGCGTCTCCGACGGGCCGCGGAACCGCGTCTCTCTCTCTCTCTCTCTCGAGGGGCCGCGGAACCGCGTCTCTCTCGAGGGGCCGCGTCTCCATGGAACCGCGTCTCTCTACAGACACATCGGGGGAGGGGGATTTATCAAAACTGGAGCAAACAGAATCTGGAGCAGTTGCCCATGGCAACCAATCAGCATCTCTCTCCAGTTTGCTCAGGTAAGATTTGAAAATGAGAGAGAGAAGCTGATTGGCTGCAGTGCAAACCTGCTCCAGATTTTGTCTGCTCCAGTTCTGATAAATGTAAGTGGCTGTGCATTGGCATGCCGTCTTTTAGCGCCGATCCATTAACTGAGGGACACAAATGAACCAAATCAAATACCTGAACAGAGCCAAAATTCCACAAATGGCTCAAATCAGCCACTCAAAGGATGTTCCCGGTACAATGAACGGTGATGCTATTTACAAACAAAAACTGTATTTTTAGTGTTGAAAAATAACACCAAAAGTCAGAGTTATACAATCAGCAAGAGCTTTGTTGACTATGGAGCTGCAGGCTTGATCTCTGCAGAGAGGCCACTGCTTCCACAAATTTAAACTTCAATTGGACTTTAAAGTGCATCAAATCCAAAAGTTTATTATGGAGTTTGATAGAATAGAGAACATTTTAATTGCCGATAAACAATCCATGCTGCACCTTTGAAGCCTTGTTAAAGGAAGCACGGCCAAGGTCAATGCCGCAATAAACACAGCCAGCGCTCCATAAAACCTTCATCTGAAGCCGAGGTCAGAGACGTAAAAGTTCAAATACAAAACTACAGAACGCCGTTTCGGAGACGCGGAGCTCCCCCTCCTCAAGGTGACAGATGAATGCGCACATTGACACCCATCAATTGTCTAAACGTCAACATGCCTCATGCGGGATGGTACCTCCTTACCTATATAAAAGAAACACAACACATGCTCAGGACGGCAAGCGGCGCACACACAGACGCCCCCCTAACTCAGGATGGCGAGCGCCTACGCAGACGCCCCCCTAACTCAGGATGGCGAGCGCCTACGCAGACGCCCCCCTAACTCAGGATGGCGAGCGCCTACGCAGACGCCCCCCTAACTCAGGATGGCGAGCGGCCTACGCAGACGTCCCCCTAACTCAGGATGGCGAGCGGCCTACGCAGACGTCCCCCTAACTCAGGATGGCGAGCGGCCTACGCAGACGTCCCCCTAACTCAGGATGGCGAGCGGCCTACGCAGACGTCCCCCTAACTCAGGATTGGCGAGCGGCGCACATGTACCCCTAACTCAGGATGGGAGCTGGCCCTTTAAGTGTGCCATGACACCAGCCAGAAGGCGCTTTCGTTTATTCACTCACTGCAATTGGCTGCACATTGATGATGTCATTGGGACGGTGCCCTACCAGCTCCAGATCGCGGATAGTTGACCGCTTGCTTACAGTTCTGGAGGGCACAGATTTGGTATGCCCTTGAAGGGCAGGGGCAGTGACACTGCAATGGTAGTTTTTTGGTTTTCCCAGCGATGGGCTTGAATAATGACCCCCATCCCCCGAGTTGAGTACCGCCTTCCCAGTCCAGCAACCCTTCCTCCAATAAACCTCAGCCCGGCTTCTCTTCATACTGTGCTCAATATAACGGCCGGTCCATTCCTAGGGGTAAGCTACACTCGTGGCAGTCTCCAGAGATCCCGGAAAGTACAGGTCACCCATAGCAATGTTTTGGGCCACGGCACACAGATATGGACAGAAGCTGGCCAGCACCACATCGGAGGAAGGTGACCATCATCCCAGCTGGGCTGTACTCGGGGGACCGATAGGATTTATTGAAGCAAAACAAACGACAAACGCACTCAACAATTTGTTACCAGTTATACAGTGAGGTGCACACGAAATGGGCTTTGAACAGTAGAACAGTAGAAAGGCATCATGGCACACTCACGAACCAGCATGTAAAACAACTTGTCTCACCACTAAGGACAATGACAGAGGTTTGGATACACGTCTTCTGCAAAGGATGTGTAAGCCGCACTGCCGCGCCAAGGCACCTCTTATAGTGCGG